CAGCCACCTACACAGCACACCCGTGAGTCAAAGACCAGACGCCAACAACCCCAAGACAGCCACAAGTCCAATCGTTCCACACCCCAAGAAACACATTATGCAAAGAAAACCCCTTTCACATCTCGCCATGCACAATCATCCACCGCAGCCCAGGAGACAAGTATACCTACCACATTAGTCGAAGACCCGGCGCAAAATAAACTTTTTCCCACGGAGGGCGGGAGAATCGCGAACCGAACTCCTGAAAAAAGTTAAAGCTCCGCCCTTCTCGGACCGAGTACGAAAAGACGCCGAATGCGATGGGGTCTTCTAGACCGCAGGGTGGTATTCAGGCGCATTGGTCCAATCAAGTGCGGCGTGTGTGGGAATTCGTTGGTGCTGATCGACACCATCTACGTGGGTTTTGGAATCTCTTATTATATAGCTCTCGTCCCTATCGTGCATAAAGGTTGTCTTTCCGCTGTTCTTACTCCATCCTTCTTCATCACGTTTTCTTCGATACGATCGTCTTATTCCGATTCCTATTTCTATTTCTCTTCCATTGAGAGGTATATATAAGTAGTTTAAAGTGTCGAATCTCGATATCTAGCTTTTAGCCATCTCAATCTTCATATCTATCCATATCCAATCACCAGATAAATAAACGCGCGATACATTCGATCTACCAGCCATCATGTCGACGACACCGGGAGAAAAGTACATGTTCTATCACTATAACCCCTCTTCAGCCGCAGCCATCGCCGCCTTTGCTTTATTCGGCCTCTCCGCCATCTTCCACGCCTACCAATTAATCTCGAAGCGAACATGGTATTTCATTCCCTTCGTCATCGGAGGTTTATGTAAGTCGACATTCCTGATATCAGTTCCGCTTGCCCGCATGGAGACTAACCCAATCCCGATAGTTGAAACCGTCGGGTACGTCGGGCGATTCATCTCATCGCGACAGAATTATGGCGACTGGACGCTCCTCCCATACATCATCCAATCACTCTTCATCCTCCTCGCGCCCGCCTTCTTCGCCGCATCCATCTACATGGTCCTCGGACGCATCATCGGACTCACGCAGGGGGAGAAATACTCGCTGATCCGCGCGCGCTGGTTGACCAAGATCTTCGTCGGCGGAGACGTGCTCTCCTTTCTCATGCAAGCCGGAGGTGGAGGCATGATGGCCAGCGCCAAGACTCCTTCCGCCGTCCACACCAGCGAGCTGATCCTCACGGGAGGTCTCATCGTCCAGGTTCTCTTCTTCGGCTTCTTCATCGTCACGGCCGGCTTTTTCCACTTTCGAATTACGCGCGGCCAAGGGGGAGCCGGCCCTTCGGCTTCCGCCGTCCCCTGGCAACAGTACTTGTCCATTCTTTATGTCGCCAGTACTTTCATCATGATTCGTTCCATCTTTCGCATCATCGAGTATGTGCAGGGAAACAACGGGTATTTGTTGTCGAAAGAAATGTTCATCTATATCTTTGATGCGTCGCTGATGTTCTTGGTCGTCATTATCTTTAATCTTCGTCATCCAAGCGCTATCATCCATGGGAAGAAGGGTCACGAATTCGAGACGTCGGAAGTTCCTATGGAGAATGCAGCTTCTCCCGCGATGAAGAATAACGGAGGGCGGTATGGCCAACAATCCGTCTAGGTTGGATGGAGCGTGGAAGGTTGAGATAAAGGAAGGGCAAGATTGTTTGGTGGCCGGGCCAGGGCCAAGGCCAGGAGGAGAAGGTGCGGATCAGAGTTTCTGCCATTAACACCATATGTGTGATGCTCTTCATGCCAACGCGAGTCGGCATAGGGTTTCTTTTCTGTTTATGAAGTATTTCTGCAGCGAGGCGTTTCAGATTGGGATCCATCGAGGATATATAGATATACCATGCGACTTATATAGCATTAGAGTAAATGAATAATGACATGATACCTATCGAGAAGACTTCCTGGAGATCATGGCGATTTCACTTATCATGATTTGACTTGAACTTTTGAAGTGCCCCCCACCGGGAGATTCAAGTCCCAATAATCTCTTTTTGAAGTTCAATAGATCAAGTACCAAGACCGTCATCTCAGCACTCGCTGGTGGAGGGTTGGAGCTCGAATGGGGATACTCGTCGAATCCTCCACCCCCTTTTCATCTACATCAGCTCTGAGTGCACTCTCCAGGAAAGAATTAAGTAGGAACAAAGACCTAACCCTTCAGCAGCAACAGCAACAACAATCGTAAGCCTCCCGTTTTCCCCCTACTCCGCCCTATTACTTGTTTAACAACCTCGCATTACAATAAATTAACAACCTCCCCACCCCAAGATTCCCCAACAAGACCCTAAACTCCATCCGAACACGATCTAACCAGAGCATGTCCCATCCCATGCACCCGGATAACAGCTTTCTCCCAACCCAAAGCATGCGATTCCCTCCCAACAAACACTGACGGAAACAAAACATCACAAGTAACGACAAGACAAGAGAACCAGCGGCAACGATACGATGAGCGCGAGGTGCCATACGAATAGAATAGAATAGCACAGATACCAAGAATCAAAAGAACTGTTTGTGCACTAGATGAGGTTTTGGGATTGAAATCACAATAACCTATCCTATTACCCCCCGAGATGACTTGATATGTTTGCCTGGTGGAAGTATCCCAGTGGATTCTTCTTCGGATGTTTTGGCTGACGTTGGCGGAATGTAGGAGAGTCCATGGATGAGAAGAGGAGCGAGGGGGTGAGTGAAATATTCGCCATCTTGGATCTCTCAGTATTGTAATGGATGCGATGATGAAGGAAAGCGAAAGTAGACCGACCGGTAAGGTCGAGAAAAATAATAAAGGTCCAGTACAGGGATTCCATAAGTACCAATCGAAACTCCTCCAGAAACTCCTGAGAAATGATGACGACTTTAACAGTCATTATTAAGTGCAATATAAAAACATCAATTGGTGACTTATTAGTAGTGTATATAACTTGGAGTATTCATTTTTAATAGTAATGAAATATTAAACTCTTTATTTCGAACCGATGTAGAGAAAGCATAGCACTAATACTGTTTTGAAGAATTATTGAAGTTCTATAAGTTATCTGAGCCGTGTTTTATTAGAGGATCGACATATTTTTCGGATGAGAAAGATTCGAAAGTAAAATGTAGTTGGAGATATAATGAAGGAGATATAGTTGAAGAAGATATAGTTGAAGAAGATATAGTTGAAGAAGATATAGTTGAAGAAGATATAGTTGAAGAAGATATAGTTGAAGAAGATATAGTTGAAGAAGATATAGTTGAAGAAGATATAGTTGAAGTAGTCGAAGAAGGGGTATAGTCGAAGAAGATACAGTTAAAGGGGCATAATTGAAGAAGTCGAAGAAGGGGTATAATCGAAGAAGATATAGTTAAAGAAACAAGAACAAGTTGAAAATGAAGTAGTCGAAGAAGATATAGTTAAAAAAACAAGAACAAATTGAAAATGAAGTAGTCGAAAAAGATATAGTTAAAGAAACAAGAACAAATTGAAGATAAAGTAATCGAAGAAAATACAGTTAAAGAAACAAGAACAAATTAAAAAAAATATAGTTGAAGAAGATATAATTAAAGAAACAAGAATAAGTTGAAAAAGATATAGTTGAAGAAAATATAGTTAAAGAAATAAGAACAAGTTGAAGAAGATATAATTAAAGAAGATATAATTAAAGAAATAAGAATAAATTGAAGAAGATATAATTGAAAAAGATATAGTTAAAGAAATAAAAACAAGTTGAAGAAGATATAATTGAAAAAGATATAATTAAAGAAATAAGAACAAGTTGAAGAAGATATAGTTGAAGAAATTCGAAGATCCCAAAACCCGATATCGTTTATTGAATCATGATAAATCTTTTTGCTTGACGTCTGAAGAGCCCGAAAGTAATAAACATGTCGTTGGTGGTAGCGAGGCCCGGGGATATGTAAGAATGGAAAGATGAGGATGGTAATGAGGGGTATAAAATTAAGAGGATAAAGATTGGGTATAGTTAAAATGAGTGTAGGTATGATCAAAACGAGTACAGATATAATAAAAATGAATAAAGTATAAAAAGATACAAATACTAGACATTAAGTAAGTAGGTAGGTAGGTAGGTAGGTAGGTAGGTAGGTAGGTAGGTAGGTAGGTAGGTAGGTAGGTAGGTAGGTAGGTAGATAGATACCTAGATATCCCGATGTCGAAATTGAAAGAGAGTAAAGAAGGAAATTGAACGAGTGGCGAACCTAACCTTTGGAAATTGAACGAGTGTAAAAAAGTGTTTGAAAAAGATCAGAAAGGATTTCCAGGAGGGAAGGAGGCGATTAAATAGACATCGGAAAAGTTAGCCTCGAGGACTACTCGTACACTAGGTACTTTAGATAGATGATCAGATAGCTTCCTAAAGCTCTAGATTTGAAGCTAAGTAGACTCGGACCTTGAAATGACTCGAGATGATGATGAGAATGATGATACTAATGACAATATGATTCGGATCTAGAACCGTTAGATATAATTAGGTACCTTTCGACATCATAGCGGGGTACGGTATCTTCGGTAGGTAGTGATAGCGTCGGTAGGTAGTCGTTAGGATGAGCACGATGCAGATCATTGATGTCCGTGTACCTACTTATTTCCGAACTCCGTTTATCCGGCGCTCGTCCGAGCGTAGCTAGCTTTTCAGTCCAGTCCAGTCCAGCATAATCAAACTGGTCCACGTAGATGAAAGAGTGTAAGAAGCTGGAGGACGAAGTTATCATTATGCTATCTAGGTAGGATGGCTATGTATGTATGTAATTGTTCACAGAGCGTAACGCAAACTAATCAATCTTATAAAAAAAACCTTGGAATATATATCAAAAACATATATAAGC